AAGTTAATACAATGGTTAGTGATAGTTAAGTGAGCCAGAATCGAGTTCATATGATTTTTGAAGTCTTGAATAATAGCTGAGTTATTTCCCAAACAGTACTGTTGCTAGTAAGTGAATTGTTTAAAGATAAAAAGTTCTGCCATGTGGAGTTATTTTGTGATCCAATACGTTCTTGTGTTATGACCACACTGTGTGCCCTTACACAATTAGTTTTAGGCAAATGAATACTCACTTTTTTTAAACTAATTTTTTAATGGTCGGTTAGAACAATAACCCATGCTTTAACAGATTACTCGACATTAATCTAGCTGATGGCCTCTTCTAAATTAGCAACTACAATTATTACACAACACACCATACTTTTCACTACACATTTTAAACAACATTTTTCAACAATCCTAAGAACCATTTTTTTATATCCATCAGCTAATAGGTTTTTACAACAGAAATTTAGTTTTCCACAAGAAGCTGTAAACATTCATTTAAGCCATGCTCAACTCGGAGTATGCAACAAAAAGGTTAAAACGTTTGTCGATAAAACTGGTTGTCAAGTTTTAAACATTTTGCAAATTGTGATTGCAAAAAAACAATTGCCAATCGGCCCTTAATGCTAAATCCAACCAATCCAAAAAAGGGGTTTTCATTTTTGCTACTATCCTCTCTTAACCCTCTCTGTATTTGGATAATTTTGAACTTTATCTACTTTTTCAGCTTCCCGTTGTGGTAAATATCCTATTCATTACTCCATCTATGCTTCATTTTAGTAAATATTGCACTCCTTGACATTTGACTTGTTTGAATGTCCTCAATATTGTCTTCCCACTCTTACAGAAAAGCAGTTTACCCACCTAGATGTGCATGTTAAATTTTCAGAAAAAATATGCTCTCTCTAGTCATCCTACTTTTTCCCTTTGATAATTTATCTCCAATATTATTTAACAGTTTTTCATTTATGACCAGACAATTTTGAAATAACAGGTCTTAATATCATATTCAGACTAAAATATTGTGAACTTAATTTCTTGTTGTTGTGTGTAACCATAGGTAGCTTACAGACTACAGTATGAATAAAGTTAGCTTTAAAACTCATCCCTAGAATTTGTTTGCACATATCAGTACTTAAATATAATATTTTAGTTTTGTTTTTGATCAATTTGTCTCTTCAAAATGTTATCATTTAATATTTGTTCGTAAATATAAACATTTCAAAATTTAAATAAAATAATACTTATGAAGAAGTTTTATGATAGTTAAAAATTTTGTTATTGTTAAATTTTTTTAAAGTAATTTACAGTTCATTCACAATAATTGTAATAACAACTATCAGGCTGGAATTTTAACGTATAGTATCTTTTATAGTATAGGCCTATGAGTTAAAAAAATATATTTTTAATTATAGGTTGTTTTAAACAATCTTTACTGTTAATCTAAAGTTGAACTATTAGAGCTTTTAACTTTAATACTTGGTCCAAATTGTGTCGTCCATGTATGTATACTTTGAAAATTGTCATAACAAAGTCAACAAGCATAAAATGTAATTGTGAATTGATATTGTATTTTTGTATCTTTGGCCAGATTTGGTGCCTCTTATGAATTAGTTAATGTAGTACAAATTATACAATTGTCTCTGTATACGAAGAAAGGGCCCAATACAGTTTTGATCGTATATAAAATTTTGTTTTTATTTATCACCCGTCAGTTTTGCACTACTTTAGAATAATTATAGTATACTCGTTCCTGAAATTATTAATTTTGAAATAAGATCTTGGTTATCTTTAGTCGTTAACAGTTATCTTAACCTTTACTGGTAATCAAACATGGTAATTAGAAAAGTACACTTACAATCCCTGTATTTGAAAATACAAAAAAAGACATATATTATAGCCACTGTTTACAGAGCATGTCAATGATCTAAAATATAGGTACCAAAAATAACTTATACATACTGTACTTACATAATTAAAATAATGTTTTATGTATGTCGGAAAGTAAATAAAAGAAACGTCTTATAACACTTAAAACATATATTCACGCTTATACTGTTACTCACAAGACGGTAAATATACAAAAAAGGTGGAAGTGGTGATCGATTTCGATTGGACACTCCAATCATCATCAGACCCAATAGGCGAATGACAAGAATCTTGAATGGCGTCCCTACTTATACCCTATTGGCTACCGGAAGCACCGGCCAATACATTTTTATAAGTACAACTGGAATCAAAATGTATTTGTTCATAAATCAACTTATTTCTATCTTTACATTTTTCCTTATAAATATACAATTCTTCCCAAGCATTCATTACATATCCTTTCTTACAATTCTTTAAAATATCTAGACTATCCTCCATTTTTCCTACAACCTTTTTTGTATATTTTTCTGTCTTGTGAGTAACAGTATAAGCGTGAATATATGTTTAAGTGTTATAAGACGTTTCTTTTATTTACTTTCCGTAAATTTAATAACACGTACAAAACTGATCAAGAAGTTATTTATGTATGTCTTAAATGTAACTTAATATTAATTTGTATTTCCTACAGTTAAAAAGGACTTATCCAGGTTTTTACATTCAGTACTTTTAATGAACTCTTGAGAATCAATGAACATGAGTTGTTCTTTACAAGTAAATTAACAATCATATACACTCTACATGTATATAAAAACTATCTGACCATGAAGTCAATCAATGATCAGCGTGTGTTATACATCTCCGTGACATCATTGGTGAAATATAAATAGCCAAAATTACTTTCGGAAACATCATTTAGTGTCTAAATATATTTTTATCGTTCTTATCAATGGTTAATGTCTTGAAATGATCGACTAGCTGGGTAATAGAGACTCTTATTGACGTAGAGCGCTACAGTATAAGAATCTCTTTGTAATATTTGCTGGTTGACACTATATTAACTGTAGAAAATTAATCTGAGTTTGCAGCCACAAAGTTAGTATTTTTGTATTAATTTAATACATACATAATGGTATTTAAATGTGTGGCTTGTTGTATATTTCATCAATTGAGACTAAAATGACTATTTTGTCATAAAAATAATGAAATTATTCGACAAATATAAATCCTTTATTGCCCTAAACTTGGCTATAATCAGACCGGTTTATACGGACATTTTTACCGGGGCCCAGGCCGGACCCTGCCAAACTTGACTTCAAAGGGAAGGGAGCCCCTAATATCTTTACTGGGGCCTGCAAAAGCTGGGTACAGCCCTGGCCCTAAAAACCAGAACACTGACTTAGGAAAAATATTCTATGTCATAATAAATAAATAATAAATAAATATAATATTATATAATATAAAAAATAATAATATATAATTAATATAAAATAAATATAATATAATAAATAATATCAATGCAATTATATATGCATATAATTTTGCATTGATTGACGAAGTCATATTAGTACAAATCAAGTGTATGGTCTTAGAAAAAAGGTCATGGAAACACAGTATACAGTATGACAAAGTCTACCAAATTTTACCAATATCTACATTTTTTAGTTTAAGAAGGTTGACAAAACATTATTATAGTAAATACAATACAAAATCTGTCCATATCCTTGCACTTGGACCATATTATATAATTGAATGGGCTTAGACTTGAAGGCCAGTTAAATAACATTGGAAATAACACATGTGGTGTGGTGTAAGATGATGCAATTATAAACAATACGACATAATCAAACTCCATCAGCCAGTAGCTTTTATTGTGTTACCTAATTAATTTAACTTGCAAGCAATAAGCAATTGGAAAATTTGACACTGTATTGAAAAAATTGATATAGATTCTTTATTAAAATCATTAGTAATGTTTGGTTATTTTACCTGAGCATTTGTAACAAGCAGATAATATTAATTTTTTTTATATAATTCATTGAATTCGGATAATGACACCATCTATGTGGAGGAGACGTTACACGATTTTTTTCAAAGAATTTGATTGTGCCTCTGTTGTTATATTTTCTATAAACATTTTTTTCAGTTTTTATTTTTTGTAGTGAAAAACGATGCTAGAGTTAACCCTTTTCGCTTTTAGTTTAGCTTTTTAAAAGCACTCTCTATTAAAAAAGAAATCAATTCACAATGATTATGTTTTATAATAACTCCTATGTTTAATGCAAGTAATTTATATTCCTATCATTCTGCAAGTAATTTAAACTCGAAATGTTTAATTACGTTATTTGATCAGCTGAAACAAGTGAATTGAATTAATCAAAACAAACGAATATTCATTTCTCAGTCAACATTGTATATAACTTATTTCAATTGAGTTATAGACACAATTTTCTAATGTAAAGAATCATTTATTTGTCTATTAAGTGCCCATAAACTAGGATAAAAACTATAAAAGTCTTACTCAAATCTATTCTCTTCTCTTTGAGTAAAAACTGGTCAGTTTAGATTATATGTCAGTTTAAATATTAAAAGTCAATGGTACAGTATAATAAATTAAACTTTAGTTCTTTTAAATCAATTTTAGTTCTGCTGACAAATGTTTATAAAATTAATAAATATTGCCTGATAAAATATTTGAGCAACATTTGTTTATTACTTTATTTGTTTGTGTTTTATATACAGTACATACACAAGCATATTTGCATCAAACTAATAATGCTGTGCAAGAAATTTGTTTTTCAAATTGTTATCTAAACTGTCAAGTTCATGTGGCAGTTCAAAATCTGTTAAAACTCTAGAAATATATTTTGCCTAAACTATTTCGGTATCTTGAAATAAAAATAAAAATAGGCCGAGTTATTTTATTCATGATTAACATTATTACTGCTCGGGGCTATAGAATACATAATTACTGCTACCTAAGACTATGACTCATCCCATTGGTGGGAAACTTACATTTCCCTATCCTGTTGGCCTCAATCAATTTAATGTTCAGATCTAGTGATTGTGAGAGGTTGACTATTTTCGGCCTGATAAGAGGAGGTGTCTGGTAGGCTTGGTGGGAGGTTTATAACTCTGTGGTGACTTCGGTTCCCCCTTCATTACACTAGTGAACACAGACAGACACACTGGCATCCACCAACATGTACGGCATCTACGACTACTGGAAAAGACTTGCAGGTTAGTCATTGATTAGTATTAAGTAGGTAATTAGGCGTTGATTATCTAGGAGAAAATTGTTGATTATATCAAGAGCGGTAAGAAATATATTTTGATTCCTAAATGTTATAATTAGTGAAAAGAAGGAAAATATGTGCTTTTGACTCGTAGGAAGTGATCAAACAATCCTAATAAAATCATTTATTTGCTATCTAGTTTTGCTTTAATTTTTTGATAATTTGTCAGGTTTGATGGACTGAATTGGAATTTTGTATAATGTGCACTTGTGTAATGTGGAGGTAATTTTTAAATAATATATTGAAAATTTAAAGCTGAATGCACAATACATTGGCCATGACAAGAAAATTGATTTTTTTCTGATCAATGGTCTTAAAGCGTTTTTCAAACACTCTTAGACATATTGGAAGTTGGACAAATTTTTCGGGAGTATTGGAGAGTAATTTTTTATAACTAACAGTGCATGCATGCATAATTATATTTTTCCCGACTTTGCTTTAAAGCATGATGCACATCATGTCCCACGCCCTTGTCAAAAGATTAAAAAAATGCTTAAACTTTTTATTAATATGTCATATTTTGTTCAAAGTTATCTGCAGTATCTCATTTCAAACGTCCCAATTATCTCGGGTTTGATTTAGTTCATCATTTGAATAAAAAATAATGTATCGGTATATTTTAAAAGTTTGCAATTATATTCAGCATGTGTTCATGATTTAATTCAGTCAACATGTTATCAAACATTATAAAATTCAAGAAAGACATTATTTTAATCTTGTTTTGATGAAAGACCACCAAACACCAGTTTTATCTGATTGGCAATCTATCATTAATTACATAATACTAATACACTCATTGTACTTATTATTTTATCTTTGTTAACCACAAACTTAAGATAGGTTTTATTCAATATCATGCATCTAATTATGATCTATATAGGAATTGAAATATGGTTTACATATTCACATGAAATTAAAAACAAAGTTGCTCTTAGAGAAATGCATTGTATTTCTGTAATACTGTTTCAACCTCATAATATGGGTAAATTATTTAAAATTTATCGTAGACATTGTTCAATCTTTTGCTGCATTGAAAACTTTTGCTTCGAAACTATGATGGAAATAAGGATTTAAACAATGGAAGGAACAATTAAAGGATTTAAAATAAAAAGGTTTTTTTTTCGAATGAAAAAATAAAAAACATCATTTTTTGCTACTTGCTGTATTGTTTTACCTACTGTTAATTTGGTTTTAAAGTCATTTACAGCAGTACACCATTAGCTTCTCAAATAAATCGTTTAACAACATAAAGAACTTCAAGTAAAAAAATTAAACGTGATGATGTAGTTAAAACTTTCCCAATTTCAATATTTATTCAATCTTTATTTTAATTGTTTTTGTTTCCTCATGATATTAGTTTTACTGATTTTTAAATTGATTTGGTTTTGGTGTTTTGGGTGTTTGGTGTTTTTATTTATGGTTGTGATCTTCTGCTCCAGGACTAGCACACAGAATGGGGAAGTCGATGACCAGTTTTCCAGTTGGAAGGTTCGAGTGTCCGAGATGTTCCAAGGTATACTCTTGGAAGAACCGCCTCATGCTTCACATCCGGATGGAATGTGGCAAGAAACGCAACGTCACATGCCCCGTGGGATGCAGGTATCGAACCCATCGACACAGCCTTCTGGAGCAACATCTCTGCTGTAAACACAACGAGATCTTCTACGAGTATTACGACGCACTCAGGATAATATCTTCATGAATCAAGTTCCTTGTCCATGTCTTTCACAGCCAGGCAATGAATTTTGAAAAGAATCTTTCACAAACTATTTTTCCCCAAATAAGTGGTTTGTCAAGTGTAAATACTATTTTGTTCCCAATTCTCTTATTTTATAAACTGCAATGAACATGTTTAAGTAAAATATTATATACTGACTGATTTGACATTGTTATAAAAAAAGCTCTATTTTCCTGCTTAGGGGCACAGCATTCAAAGTCAAACTAGATTCTTATTAACCCTTTTGTGTAATAATCGGCACTATTAAATTAGTTATTCCACTGAACTGCGATTTTTAACTTTGAAATAATCATGAATTGTCCTTGAATTCTGTTTTCATTTTTTGCTAGACACCATAAAAAATCCCAATGTTATTCTCAAGGCAAATGACAGACACGTGTCAATGATAGATATACCGTAATCAAATGTGAATAAATTACAGCCATATAAATAGTTTTGTTAACAAGATATCTATGACCATAGAATACAAACTTTTCTTTGTTTTTTGGACGGATGATAATTGTTGCCTGGCTGTGTACCTTTGGGAATTCACTGTATTATTGTCATTTGAAAATATTTAATTTGAATTGAGAATACAATTAATTTCAGGACGAGTAATTGCATTAAAACTTTTTTAATAACATTTCCATTTAAGTGAATTAAATTATTGAACTTATGAATTGATAATTATTAAATTAACAATATTATGTGTTAATCACTTTTGAAGGCATCAACTATACAGTAAACAAATGCTTGCAAATGTTTTCTACTGATAGATAAATGTGTACCGGTATTGTGAAATTTGTAAATAACAGTATTGATGTATTAATCTTTGATGTACATATTTTGGTTTGATTTCACGTGTGGATTCCCTGGTAATGGTTAATGTATTAGTAATTAAGGTTGCTCATGAACATGAATTCCTATTGATGTAAGATTTTGTGATATTAAATTAAACTTCCATGATAAGTTTGTGATATAGGTGAATAACGTTATGTGTTTTTATACATTTTATTGATGTAATAAAATATGTCTGCATGTTTTACAAGAATTTGTTGAGACCCATGTCTTTTCCTCTTAAAAATCTACATTTGTGATCTCCTTACTGCAAGAAAAATTAACATCTTAGTTTAATTATAATTTACTTCACAGAGTAATAAGAGTGACATCTGCAAAAAAAGCTGTTCTGAGTCCTTTTGGAAAAACAATACTCATAAAATGTAGGCCTACCAGATTAAGAAGGGGTTTATTGATGTAAGGGATTGATGAAGTCTGTTATAAGTGACGATTGTGGCCAGCAATTGCAATTCCATGATGGGTTTTTAAAAGCCTTCAAGAAAGTGGTCTCCAACAAAATTGGATAGGTCTTAAAATTAAAAACTTTGCAATACTAACACTAGACAAGAAAACAAGGCTTAGCGAAAAAACATTAAATTAAAGTCAAACGACAGTATAATAGCATTTAGTTCAAATATTTATAAGGGCAGAGTCAATGTCAGCAATGTTCAGCTCCTAAATTTATAATGTCATTGTTATATGTACTTCTAAGGCTATCAAGATACCAGTAGACTCCCTCTTATCCGGACTCCTTGGGACTGAGGCCAGTCCGGATAATGGGTTTTCTGGTTAAACCGATGTCCCCAAAAACTCGTTAAAACGTACCGTTTAAATGCATACTGTATACAGTAGTTTACTTAAATTTAGGAGAGCATTGTATTTAGACATGTGATCACTGGTCTCAAATCTTTCCCACGAGAACAGTCGTTTCAGTACCGACCACTTCCTGCCGATCTAGTCTCATTAAACCGATGTGCTGATAAAAATTGTCCGGTTAAAGAGATTTCATTTCCGCGGAGTCTAGTCTGGTTAAACCCATGTCCGGATAAGAGGGAGTCTACTGTACTAGTTGCCTACCTTTGTGCCATACACAATAGACAAAACATACACAAAAAAATTTACAAAGGTAACGCTAAAACATCCAAAGCCTGCATAGAGATGATTTAGAAGCTTTGTCCATGAGAGCATGGACAAAGCTTCTAAATATTGTGATGCCGCAAGGATTGTTAGAAAGAATATTGTTACACGAACAATTTAAATCCTATTCAACGTTCCAAGAAAAGTTAAGAAAACAGTTAAATCTTATTTCGTGAACAATTGCACAGGGGCTAGTTCTAGATTGACTATTAATTATAGTCAATGATTATACTCAGATTTTTTATGGATATCAATTATGTAGTGTTATTTAGCTATGTAAACTATGTAATAAAACAGATGGCATCAGAAAATTCACTTACAAATTGTTGTCTTAACTTACAATTGAAATACAATAGTAAACTGTGACTAGGAAACTGAGGAGGTTTTTTTAGTGGTTAAGAGGGGAGATTTCTATAGGACTACAGATTATAATATCCTCTTTTCAACCCAGTTTGTGGTAAGAGCTCAGGATCACTGTCCTATCTATCTAGAAATTAAAATATAATATAGGTAATTCCAGTGAAAATAACTATCTTTGTACAGAAGAACTCCACTAAAACCCATAAAATAATTAATTAAAAGAATGTGTATCTGCTCCGCTGGATTCCAGCTAGTACCATCAGTTTTACAACTTATTTGGTTCACAACTACATCCTCCTTAAATCAAGAAAAATACTGTTGATTTCATGATGGGTTAGCCTCTGGATCGAAAATTGCAATATAAAATGGTTTAAGGTACCTTTTGCGTCAAACGATCCGTGATGTAGTAAATGACTACAGCTGTTTCGTGCCGCTGGGGCACATCTTCAGGTTGTCATCCGTGGATGAGTTTGTCAAAATAAATAATTACACAAAATACACGGTACGAAAAATGCTCGACCTGAAGATGTGCCCCAGCGGCACGAAACAGCTGTAGTCATCTACTACATCACGGATCGTTTGACACAAAAGGTACCTTAAACCATTTTATACTGTTAATTTCATTCACAAAATGGTTGCTAAAACTTACTAATGTAATAAAGAGAAAAAAGATTTACTGAAAATGTTTAATGAATCAAATCCGATTCAAATATTTATAAAAAGTCCAAGGATGTAACTACTGGGGATGTTTTAAAACATCCATCCACAGTCAATCGTTAAACATATACTGTCATCTATTTCCCCTTCTACAGTATTTTCATTTTCTACAACAAAGTTTCATTACAGATTACCTACAGTTACGAGCAACAGGACGTATGGGGGATTCAAGGCCGCGTAACTTCGCCTGCGATTCTTGTGGAAAAGCTTACATCCGCAAGGATACTCTTCAGCGACATCAGACCCTGGAGTGTGGGAAAGATCCCCAGTTTAATTGTCCCTACTGTGATTACAAAGCATTCCAAAAAGTTCACTGCTTGAAACACATAATTCGTAAACATCCACAGCATTCGTAAGATGACAATATTGGTTGAGTCTAAAATTGGACCAATGCTTCAAAAACTGTTCTGTATTAGATCAAAATTAAAAATTTGTCTTAGCAGATGTAGCTTTAATGTTTCTAAGAATGTGAAACCGGTTTAAATAAAGTAAATGTATAACAAAATAAACATTTTAAATTTAGACTATACATTTTTGTTTTATATCATACTATAAGGGTATAAGCTGATTTAAAGGTTAACGTACCCTTCTGTCTTGAAGTCCCAGGTCAGAATCTTGCTAATCCCCAATAGTTTGGAGCCTCCTCTATTTTGTTACTCTATTTATGAAGCAAAAATTAGCGCTCATACGCCAAGATAACTATCGATTACATTTTATTTCATCGATCAAAAATAATGTACATTATGGGTGACAGTTGATAATTTATGGAGGATGAAAACAATTTCTTAACAGTTCAATTTAAAGTATTGTAATTCTTTAAATTGCAAATTAATGTACGCGTACCGTCCGCCGCGCAGTTAATTTGTGGCCACACGTGTGTTTGTAAATAATGTATCTATGTGTTGTTTCTCGTGACGTATTTATGGACTGTATGACGACCTCTTCGGAGTGATATTTATGTTCCTTCATCGCCTGAAGATGGCCCCACAGCTGGGCTGAAACCGGTCGCCGCTCATCGGTGACGTTTGATCACTTTGACGGATTAAAGGTATTTTAACCTCTAGATTAATTTAAAGTATTGTAGTTTTTACAAGTCATTAGTGAAACAAAAAACTTCTAAGAAGTTATGTATCTCAGGGTGTCCACATTCTAGAAAGTCAGGGATAGTCATGGAAAGTCATGGAAAAAAAATTTGGTCATTGAAAGTCAGGGAAATAGGCAAGAAGTCATGGAAAGTCATGGAAATTTCCAATTATGGATGGATTTGAGGGGACCATTCAATGCTCTAGTCAGCTGTAACCCGGACTGTTGTAGCATTTTTCAGGATTTTTCACAAATGTTCGACAATTCAATTTATTACAGTTGTATTATTTTATGAGTCTTCGGTTCGTTTTAGTTCATTGTTGTACCTATTGTACTCCATTGTTATCTGTTATTACATATTTCAGTATTTTCTGCAAAATAACATGTCCAGGCAGTTATATTTGTGTGTGTATGTTATATTATAATTTGCGTGTAAAGTTCGTGAGTCATGGAAATCAATGGTAAATGGTCATGGATAGTCATGGAAAGTCATGGAAATTAATGACAAATTTTTTGTGGACACCCTGTATCTTATTAAAACAAAATTAAAATCTTTGTACAAGAGCTTTTTTTAACACAACCAAAATTAGAAGTATCATGAGAGACTTTTTAATAACAAAACAAGCTCATTTGTTGCTATCTTGGTTTTCTTTACATTGTCAATAATTGTGCATTGTTATAGTTATATTTCAGGCTTAAGTGTTATTAAGAATTTATTGTGAAAGATTCATAATGGTACTTTATCAAGCTCAATGAGTGTGTGAAGAATGCATTAAAAGTAAATCATTGGTCGATGCCAAGGAAGGTTTGAAATTAAGTCTCCATGTGTGAAAATGAAATTAAGACTCCAGTACCTTATAAATCAACTAGCCTAATAGACTTGTCAAAAGTTTAAGGTTGCCGGATCTGTAGAATACATACTCTATTTAAGTTTGAGAAAACACCATGTTGAATCTTATTTACCATAGATTCCCAATAACACTAAATGTCATAAATAACTATGCAACAATGCATGTCAGCTGATCAACAATGAAATAAAGAAACCTGGGGATATCAACTAACATATGAGCTTGTTTTGTTGTTAAACAGTGTCTTGCATTTCTTTTAACTTCTGTTGCCTAAGAAAATATCCTATACAATAGACTTGATATTACCTCTGTCCTTTTCTACAACTTAAGATTTTTATTACCGGTAAATTTATTCTATTTTATTTTAATCATAGCTTGCTAAAATTTTACCTTGAAACATTTTGTTTCTTCTCAGGCTTCAACTGGCCTGAAATATTCAGCGGCCCAACTAAGAGTCGCCCTTTCGCTTGTAAAGTCTGCAGCAAGTCTTACACTTGTAAGGGTAACCTGAACAGACACATGTCCTTCGAATGTGGGCAAGAACGGCAGTTCCTGTGTATGATGTGCGACCAGAGGTTCTATCGGAAGTACCACTTGGAGCGCCATCTAGTACTCAAACACAACGTCAACTTCCGAGAGATTATGGAAGAGTCATGAACTTAATGTTATTTGTTATAAATAAAATTGTTTTGAAATAGTTAATATGTTTGCAGTTTTTCACTCCCACCATGTTAGGAATTAAGTAAAACAAGATTACAGATTTTAGAGGGGATAGAGTTTAGAGTTACAGTTTTAAGGTACAGAGGAAACACACTTATAGGACGACCGTGCGCATTCAGCTCTGGTATTTTGTGTGGGAATTATACTTGTGACAATCAAGGAAGAGCCTGAGTGGTGAGCACTGTGTGGATATTCCTATCACACAGAGAACAGGGTCTTCCTCCACCGCGAGAGTTTTAGTAGCCTACTTGATCGAGAGGGGGGGGGGGGTGTTGGATTTTTCCCTAGATACCAGCACTAGTGCTAGGTACCATTGAGTGTTTCCTCTTTACTTTACTTTTCTATTAGTAGTTAGTTTACCAGAGAAATTTTAAATGCAGTGGCTAAAAGATATACATAAAAGCTGATATATGAGTAACACCAACATTTGGTTGAAACTGTTCTTGATCATTCGCTTTATAACAGTGAAACTATACAAAAGTCATCTAACTCCATTTTACACTCACTCTGCGCCCTGCATTTATAGCTACAATGAGTGGATGTAGTGTTCTTTAAATAGACAGAAAATTGTTAATTTTGAGAAAAGTCAGTAAGTTTTTGATAGTTCAATACTGTACCAAACTATCCTTAATCATTGGGCTTTTTAAAAAGTGGTGCTGGCTAAAAAAAATGTAAACCTAGGTTTTATTAGTTAAAAAGATATCATTTTATTAATTCAACACATTCTTTGTTGTAAAATATCTCTATGCGTTATTGTGTAGTGTGTTGGGGAGTTTGCTGTTCTAGGGTTAGGACTTTGGGATCCTGGAAGTCCCGTGTACAAATCCCTCTAATCAGCAACAGATGTTATCTGAGTGATAATGCCAAGTAATGTGAAAAACAATTCTGGGCTAGAACCTAGAAACAAACTGTATTGTTTCGGTGTATAGTTTTAATCTAATTTAATTAATTTTAATTTAGTTAGCTGAGTTTATAATCATCAAATATCATTGTCTCAATGATATAATTGTGTTGTATCAGCATTATCAGGCTGTGCCAAATAACATTCACAGATTGTATAGACAACGTGGATGAAAATCCTAGTGCACATAATTTAACATAATTTTAATTTATTTATAATAAACACTGTTCTAGTGGATTTTGAAAATGTTATACTTACAACCCACAATAAAGTAAAGCCAAGCTATTAAGTCATTCAGATTTCCTTGCATTAGAACTATTTCAAAGAGTAGATTAAACCAGCTAAAAAGCTCATATAAATAGATTTAAAAGTAGAATATATGATTACACAGTTCTGCTATGAGAAGTACTGTCTTCAAGAATAGAGTTTACTATATTTTTTTACCTTTTTTTCAAGATTCACAAATTACCCAACAAATACAACTGTTTACCATTTGCTTACTTTACAGTAGGCAGTTGATCTAAAACTTTTAATTTTCATGCTTAACCTAGTCTAAACCTTACCTAACCTGAGTGTTTTGCAAGCAGGCCTCGTCAATCTGTCGCAGCTGTACCTGTCACAACTCAGTGGAAATCGGAGTCGCAAGTTCGTCTGTCGGTCGTGTGGCAAGTCTTACATCAACAAAGACTCGCTCCTGAGGCACATCAATAAAGAGTGTGGGAAAGAGCCGAGCAACCAGTGTCCTGAGTGCCCTTACAAGACGTTCCATAAGTTTCATCTGAAAACCCACATCGCTTTAAGACACAAGATGTTCATGGACTCAGTGAACGCCTCCAGCATCCGGTGAACTCAATGAGAACTCATGACCTTGTCAATTCCGCAAAAATAGTATTTCTAAAGTTGTGAAATTTGTTATAAGACTAGTAATGTAATCGCAAATTCTCTCTAAAGAGATTTTATAAAAGTAAATTTTGCAGAGTGATAATAATTCATAGGCATATTCAGTATCCAAGAAATTCTTTCAAAGAGAGTTCATGAGCTCATAAATTCAGTTAGAATCCTGTGAATTATGTCAGAGAGAATCAATGAACCTTTAAATTTGTCCAGCACCTGGTGAATTTTTCCATGAAGAATTTGTGATCTTGCTAATTCTGTTAGCATCCAATGAATTCTTTTGAAGAAAATTCAACTCGTTGATGTTTTTATTTGACTTGGTTTGTAACTCAGTGATTTTAAATGTACAGTAGGCCTAATCAGTTTTAAATATGTTTACGATGAACATTATTTAAAACTCAGTTAGCATTCAGAGGTTGTTCAAATGTGAAGAGTTGTGACAGTATTAGTGAATTCATGTTTCTATCATGAATTATGTTAATTCTACTATAGTTGGTCCTTTCAATTTCACTTGTATTGTTGATTTTGTATTAATTTGTGCTTTAAGCCATATTAACCTTGTCAAATTGACATTTGATATTGTTATTATTCCATTTACTTCATGTTCTCTGTAATTAAAAATTTATGTGTTTTGTATAGCTTTTTCTGTGGTACTCTACACGTTATTATAATAATTATAAATTGTTATTATAAATCATACCAATGCTTTTTGAAGAAATCCTGCCTTCTTCCTAACATTTTTAAGGGTCAATTTAATAAGTCCATTTTCCAATCAAATATCTAATTTTATTATTATTGAAACAAAAGTCCAACTAAAATATTGTCTTGTAATTTACTTAGTCTTGATTTTTTTTTATCTGTGCATTAAAAGAAGTGTACTTTACTAATAGACTCGTCTAACAATATTCATAAAATCAGGTTCATTGGATTTATCCATTGACAACTTATGACAGGGGTTTAAAAAATAGATTATTAATTAATTAATTGTGATACGTTGGAAAAAGGTGTTAATACAAACAATAATTCATAAATGAACAAACTACTACAGTGCAACCTCAATAATACTACAGTGCAACCTCAATAACACATAAACCTCAATAACAAGTCACCCTTAACTGGAATTGCAATTTTCAAACACCTTTGATTTTGTATTAAACCCCTTATCACTTGTTATTGCAGACCTCGATAATAATTCTACCGTTATATGAAGCCTTTTTTCATAATTTCCACGGCGACTTGTTATCAAGGTTTCCACTGTATAGGCTAATATAAAATGGATAAACCATTTTAATGAGAAACAAAAGGAGCTGTTGCTAACACTGGGTGTGCATTTTAATTCCAATGACACGTTTAACCTTTTTTTTTAGAAACCGTCCAAACCCCCTGGCCTTTTGTTCAGTGACAAACTTATTTCTACATTTGATTACAGAGAGTTTTTGGAACGACCCAACTGCCAGCCGATTTGTGTGCGACTCTTGCGGAAAAGCGTATGCTCACAATCGAAACTTAGGAAGACACAAACGACTTGAATGTGGCAGAAATCCTACATTTCCTTGTTTTTTATGTCCTTATAAAGCATTCAGAAAACAACACCTCCAAAAACATGTGTTGAGAAAACATGATGTTCAAATTTGAAATAAATATGGTTTAACTTATATTGCTGATGGATTTTGTATGTTTCTAAGGTCTATCTATCTTGTTGATTTAGTTGACTTTGCTATTTTTTTATGAGATGTGTAAAGCTTTCCCCTTCAGGGGAAATTGTTAAAACGCCTTGTGAAACTAAAAATGACGTAACGAATATTGTATCTTTGAGTAAGCCTTTTTCCTTTTATTTCATCTGCAAATGTTTTGTAGGTAATTAGTAAGTCTAGTGTCTAAACAGATTATTATATTTTATTTCTTCTATTTTCACAAAGAGTAAATATTACACAAATATTCAGGAACACAAAAATGTTTAGTAAAAAATTAAAGATAAAGAAAATAATTTATGATCATTTTTTTACTAGAGGTAGAGTAGTGCAAAAATTTGTATAAATGTGGATATATTTCATGTTGAAAAATGTAGCTTGCCTCTCGAAAACCTCTGTAAAAATTAGCCTGAAAATAACCTAATCAAAATGTATTTCTGCTGGAACACTGCATTAGAACACACAAATACTGAAAAACTGTTTTTTTTCTACAAATAGGAAACATTACTTTTATAATGCCCTAATTTAAAAGATTTTTGTTTCAGAATACGGCAAAAAGTTTACTTGCGAAAACTGTGGAAAAGGATACTCACACGTGCAGAGTTACCGTAGACACATGTCGTTGGAATGCGGCAAAGAAAAGACCTTTTTCTGTACTGAATGTCCTTATAGCGCATTTCGGAAACATCATTTGAAACTACACTTTCTCAAGCATCATAAGAGTATTGGGGCTATGTCTATTGTTCTTTGACTTTTCGGTGTGTACAAGAATAAATGTATCAACAAACACTATGTTTACAATCTGATTATTTAAATAAAATTCTCCATACTTACATAATTGTTGAATATAACAATTAATTGTGATGCATACTAAAATCAAATATATGTTTCATTTTTGATAAGTTGGAGTAAAGATTCATCTGACAGAAAATGTAACTGTGACCTACGATTTTATCAAAACTCCAACAAAATCAAGAAAACATCAATTGTCTTGGTTTCCAATCTCACCCTATTGAACATCATGAGTAGACGTTGAATAAACTCTCATCCAAAAACAGCTGATTTTGGGAAACACCCATGAAACCCCAAACAGACAGCTGACCTTGCCAAACATTTCAGTTAACTAAGATAAGTTCAGGTAATCCCTAATTTCTATTAGGCTATCAAAAAATATAAATTTTTCTACTGTAGCCAAATTTATCATTTCAATACATGTTTCTGGATGATAACTATGTCAAAAAAAACGACTAAGTTTAAACAAATTATCTCACTAATTATGTTTGAGGACTATTGGAATAGTTAACCAATTTTAGAAACATTGTTATTCGAGTATAAATCTGCGTCATCCCTGTTAGTAGATTACAAAAAATGATTAATTTTATTGTATCTGTGACTCCTTGAGTGGGGAAATAGACTTCCTTTCTTCTATTCTAGTTTACCCAGACACCATAAAAAACCATTGGTTTTTCAAATGTCACTTTTGCGTGAAACTAGTCAGCTATTTTTAAAAATTTAAATTTCAAATACCTTTAAACAGAGGAAAGGAAAGGAAGACTCTTTTCATCAAAACCCCCCTTTTTCACACATGCCCTCTTCCGAATAATATTTGTTCCCTTTTCTTCCACTAAAACTGTATCTCACCCACTGTTGTGTCACTTCACATTTCAGACAGCCAAATCATGGAACGAGATCGACTGTTCTCTTGTGACAAGAGTGGCAAAGGCTATCTACATTTCCGCAACCTCCACCGTCACCTCAGACTAGAGTGTGGCAAGGACCCTGGGTTTGTGTGTTCCGTGTGCGACTACAGGGCGTTCCAGAAAGTCCATGTACAGAAACACATGCGAAGAAAACACGCAAACATGCTCAACGAGTTCGACAACATTAACCAAGCTTACCTTCCGACATTCCTTTAAGGCTAGGGAAAGACAGTGTGGAGAACAAAAAATTGTATGAGTCAAAGTAAGAAAATAAACATGGTTTATAAATATCGCTCTTTTGAACCATTCTTCATTTTGTTTTGTTATATTAGCCTCTAAAGAATAAAGAAATAAATAGGAAATATTATCATTGCATATTAAATTTCAAAATATGAATAATGTACACTTTTACCATCACATTTTATTGGTTTCAAAAAATTAAGATCAAAGTAACTATTCAGGTGGAAATATTTAAATTTTAGGTTAAAGCAAGTAACAGAATTTACTTCACTTGATTGTGAAAAAATGTTTATGTGTAACACAAAATTTCTTAGTAAACTGGTTTTCAACAAAATACATACTTTTACATCAATGTCTTAACATGCATATTCTACAAAAATCATGGGGAATGTTATCTAGTGGTTATATCCTAGTGCTTTTGTGTTAGTAGCACCAATTCAAATCTTGCTATTCGCCAATAGCTTTCAAGCGCCTAGTATAGTAAAAAAAATAAATAAATAAGACGGACAACAAAATAAAATAGTTTTCTCGGACAAGAACATTTTTGGCATTTAAAAAAACTTTTGTTATAGACTTTTTACCTGGAGTGGTCATAGTACTCGCCTAACAATCAAAAGGTTGCTAAGTCGATCCTGAGGAAACTGAGGTCCAGAGTAGCTTTGGACCTGTAGTAGCTAGCTGTTGTTGTTCATTGGGATTTGAATAAGTGATCTAACAACAGCTGATCTTAGGAACAAAGCCACTCAGATAATCTCACTCCGTTCTACACTCATCTTGTATTCATATACAGGTGAAAATACAAAGGTGGCGTTGATTTCTCAAAAGCTGTGGCAATAAAAATAACATAGGTAGCTCACCTTTCTATAAAGCCAAAAATAGGACTCAGACAAAAACTATTTGATATTAGAGAATCTTGTACACCATAAGCCATGCGATATCTTTTTCTTTCTTTACTACCAAAAATATCCTCTAACTAAGGAATGGTTGCAGGTCTGCATCTGACTCTGGTAGAGATGATGATCAAACGGCGCAGACCGGTGCCGGATGCCGTGCGGTTGTCCGGCGTGGGCCACACTCCGGTGCCGACGAGTAAGCGCCGGTGTGGTCTGTGTGTGGCGCAGAAACGCACCAGTTGGATGTGCCAACTTTGCGAAGTTCCGTTGTGCCGCCTGAGACATAGAGACTGTTTCAAACGTTACCATACTGAAGCTACTGTTATCTAGTTACCATTCTAGTCATGAAATATAAATACAGTAAATGTTCAGTCTTTGTTTTATTGTTCCTAATTTGTTGAAAAAGTGTAAAGTTAGTAGAAATAAATTGTATAGTTTTGTTATTAATTTTTTTTTATTAAATGGATAAAACTCTCAAATTGTTTTCAGCATTGACTAATAAAACACACATTTTAAGTACTTTCTTAGAAACATCTGTTACAACTAGAATAATTTACAACAATATGTATCAAATCAATAAACAATATCCTTACTGTTCCACCTTAAGGTTGTCAATGTTTTGAGATTTGTAAAGTCCTCATTGAATCATTTACATCAACCAATACTTTTAATTAGGACCTTTCTTAAAGTCCCTTTGGGGAAAAAACAATCAGCCAATGGCATCACAATGTCAACACTTACTAATAATTTCATAAATCATGTAATAACAGTGTAATATAGTCAGAACTGCTTTTACAAATGGACCCAAAGAGCATAGGTCTAGGGGCGCAAGGAGAAAAATTCCCCCACAATGTAGGTGGAGAGGGGCGCAATTATCCCTCGGGCCCAACACCATTAGATTTTTAATTTTTTTTTACCTACGACCGTTTTTTAAAGTAGCCATTTCAGTTCAGTTCTTAGGATTGAAAAGTTTCACATAATAGCATTGTTTACTTTCATAAAAGCATAGTTTTACTCATAACAACACGAGTAACGTACCAATGAGGTTCAAGAATTGAGAGAAAAGAAGTAAAATTGTAATGATTTTATCTTTAACTAGTCAGCTATCC